AAGCATCAACGGGGAGTTTACACAAGGGTAAAATGAAGAGTTCCAAGCTCTCTCATTGCTAACCATACACTTTCCGTGACTGTTGCAAGCGGGTTTGCAGGTCATCCAGCACTGGTCTTTTCTTAGCCCGAACACGTTTAAAGAAGGAAGGGGCAGAGATCACACTGTGAGTGTTTCTGAACTTCCTTAAGTCAACTGGGCGGAGGCCCTACCGGTTCAGGCACCTGCAATTTCCGCCTTTCTCCTTCCCCCTCTTCCGGGCTCTGTCCCCGCTCATCGCCCGGCCTGTGGCCCACTCCCATCGCCAGCTGGGGCCCTGGGGACTACGACGTCCTTCAAAGCTTGCTTTTAGAAGACAAAACGGTAATGATAGTCACGTTTTTAAATCACTGCAGTGTGAGCTCTTCACGTGAACGCTTTATTTGGGTAGGAAAACCTAGCCTACGAGAAGCAGGCCCGCGCGGTCACGCCTGACTGCTCGTCTCCGGGTCAGCTGTGCCAGGACCAGCTCCAGCCCCCCACCGGAGAAGGCGATCCTTTCCCCTCCGCACTCTGGCTTCCCTAAAGCGGCCGCGCCTCCTTCCAGGCCTGACCTCCCGCCGGCTCCGCCCGGCCCGGCCCACCTCGCCCCATCTCGGTGCCCACCCATTGTCCCCTCTCGCTGTCACCGAGCGCAGATCCCGAGCTCCCGATTGGAACACCTCCCCATCACTCAGCCACACTCCCGTTTCCGAGCCATAAAAGGTCTAGGGCCGCTTCCCCGGAGCCAGCAGGTAAAGCCGCGGCGGCGTAAGGGAAGCAGGGAGCGGCCGCGCCCCCTGGTCGACCCAGCCGAGCAAGGGGAGCACACCACACACAGCCCTCCCTTGCCTTGCGACCGCGCCCTGTCCTCGCCCCAGGGCCCCCACCCTGCAAGTCCTGATCACAATGCCGGAGCCGCCGACCCACCCTCGTCATCCTGCCCCGGGACGGCCCTGGGACAGTGACCACCGCGAAGCACCGAGGGCAGGGCAGGGCGGGCCGGGCCTCGGGGAGGGGGGCGGGGTGGGGGGGATGTGAAAGGTCCCGGATGTTGCTGAACTGGAGCCCCTTCCAGAGGAGTGAGAGGAGTGACTGGCGCAAGCGCAGACCGGCTGAGCGAAAGCTAACGTGGGGGTAGGGGTAGGGAGACAGCTGCCTTCCCGCAGGCTTAGAGGTAGAGTGGGCCGGTGGAGGCTGCAGGGGAGAGGACGTCGGGGACCTAAGGGGAAGGCGAGGAGTCGGGGGGGATCTGCGTTGGGGAGGAAAAGAAAAACAGAAGCTTCCCGCCTAGGTGCACTCCGGACAGGCGTAGAGGACCTGGGAGCCGAGCCGGGTGGGGGAGTGGCCGTAGCGGGCGAGGACGCGCGCTCCTCCGCTCGCCCTCCAGCGCGGGCGGGCAGGACGCGCGCCGGGGAGCGGCGGTTGCGCGAGGCCCAGATCGCTGTGGGCACTAATCAACGGTTGCCATAGCAGCGTTTGACGTCATCGTGCGTGTGGTGCCCCTGCTGCCGGGGCTGGTGATTGGAGGAAACCCCGTGTCTGCGGAGCGGCTGTAGCCTGTGAGCAGCGAGATCCAGGGACAGAGTCTCAGCCTCGCCGCCGCCGCCGCTGCCGCCGCCGCCGCCGCCCAGAGACTGCTGAGCCCCTGTCCGTCCGCCGCCTCCACCCACTCCGGACACAGGTGAGGAACCCGTCCGCCGCCGCTCCCCGCTCCTCCTGTCCCAGGCCAGCCTTCTGAACGCGTGGGAGCCGTCCTCACCGGGTCCCCTCATCCCCGCTCGCCCCACGGTGGCGGCGCGGGGCTGAGGCGGAGTCTCCTCGGCAGACACGGGCGGCGGCTCCTCTTCCGCTGGGCTCGGGCGGGCGGCTAGCGGCAGCCTCCCGCGCCTGGTTTCCGCGTCGCCGCCCCGGCCCCGATCGGTGCTCGCTCCCCCGTCCCGCTCCCGGGGGTGGGGAGGGCGCCCACACGCGAGATCCCCGGGGATCCCCCGTCGCCTGCTCCCGAAGCCGGACGAGGCATGGCCGGGGCGCCGCCGGCCGCGATTCGTCCCCACCCTTGTTTCTGCTTCTACCCCCGCCCTCGCTGCCCTTCTCGCTTCCGCCCGAGATAATGACTCGGCGGCGGCGGCGGCGGCGGGCATCGCGGTGGCGCAGGTGAGGCCGCCCCCTCCCCTGTCCCTCGGCCGCCCCTTCTTTCCCCTCCCCCGCTCTCCCTCCCCCTCGCGCAGCCTCCGCGCTGGGCGCTGCGGTGGCGGGACCCGGCCCTCCCCCACCCCGGGAGGAGGTAGCGCGGCGGGGAGGGGCCGGGGGCCTCGGGGACACAGGCGGGAGGGAAGGGCCTGGCGGAAGCGGACAGGAGCCCGGGCCCGGCCCGGCGGCGGGAAGGGAGCCCACTGCGGGGGGAGGCTGTGGGGTGGGGCTCGCCTGGGACCTAGAGCTGAATTTCCTGGGCTCCGCGGTGGGGGGAAGGGCTTGAATTTTCTCGGTGGGGACGGGGGATGGGGATGGGGATGATTTTCTTTCCTCCTTATGAACCGTCGGGGAAGGCGCGGACTGGGGCTGTGAGCCCAGGTTGGGGTAGAGCGGGGTGCGGATCCCGCGATAGGCTCTCGCGCCGGAGTCACTAGAACTGGAGGGTCCCTCCGCCGCTTCGGGGACGCACAGTGATCCTGAGCAGAGCGGCCGCCGGTGGCCCGCTCGACTGGGTGTGGCTCCCGTCCCCTCCCCCACCTGCAGCTGTCGGGCCCTTAGGGACGGTGCACGCGGGCACCGGCGCTGATCGGTGGCGGGGAGAGCGCTGGGTGGGAAGGCGGGGTGTGTCCGCGGTGAGGCTGCTAGTGGTTCCGCTTCTGCGGGCGTCTCTGGCGTCTCTGCCCCGGGGTCGGGTGGCTTGGCTTCCCCCCACGGCTCGAGCGGGGGCGGGGGCGCCGGCTGCTCCTCCCCCTTGCTCCGGTTGGGGGGGGGGAATTAACACTCAGCAGTAGGTTGGGCTCCCTGACACAGATCCGCCATGACAAAGGAGGAGAGTCGGGGACTTGAGCGGAGGCTCGGGCTTGGGCGGAGCCTGGAGGGGGGTGGTTGCAGATACGCGGACCCGAGGATTTGCACTTTAAAGTCCGGGTCTGCCCGCTTTCTTTTCACCCTAACCGATGTCTCAAGTCAGGTAAGGGTTAAATGGGTGCGGTGAGTCCTGCCCGCAGTGTAGAGGCGAGGCCTTGGAGCGATCGTTACTGTGTGAGAAACCTTATCCACTTCCTCTTGTACCCAAGTAGTGGGGGAGAGAATCCTTTGTGCTGGTTTGAAATCATTTTTCGTTAGAAGCAGAATTAGCCAGAGAGCGTGTCTCAGTTCCTAAGGGAAAAATTAATAATAGAGAGACCTGAGGAAAAGCATGTCGTCATAAAGGTTAAATAATTTTTATGGGTGAGCCAGTACCTTGCATCCAAATTAGCTAATTACTTGCTTAAAATGTGAGGACTTGTTCTCTCATTTGGTTAAAAAAGTATTGTGGGATTTCCCTGGGAAGGTAAAAGGTAATTAATATTCGGGAGTCAGCTCCCAAGGTGGGTGGGTCAGAATAGCTCTTCTGTTCACCTTCTAATTTAAAATATACACTTCATTTATGTGTATATTTTCCTCTAAAGTCGTTTATTCTGCGGTCTCACTGTGTGGATTAGTGTCTTTGTGCTGTTTAGCAACTTTGAAAAGGATGTCCTTCCAGAAAAATGTAGCTGAGGTAAATTGAAAAGGTCTAGGAAACTATGTGAGGGAAGGAGTTAGGTGGGTAGTCACGGCAAAGGACAGCTTGAGTGATAGCATGCAGTTATTGTGACGGTGACAGCTAGAAGCAGGATGCGGCACTTACACATCGCAACTGGAGCCATGACATTGCAAACACTTGTAAATTAAGCACTTCCAATGTGATGTATTTTAGTACTCACAGTAATAGTTGAAGGGCCATGACTCGTGGGTATTTTTAAAGCATGTGGACATACAACACGATAAAGAGTTGAGGCATTAGGGTCGGTTAGATGTTGGTCCTTTGTGGTGGCTTTACAGTAAAAATATCTGAGAACAAGCAGTTTGGCTATTCCTCCCCTAAATTGTTATGCTATTACGGCTGGCAAATGTTGCAGAGATCTAGTAGATTTGGAATGAGGGGAAAACTAAAATTTAATCACTCCTTATTATGAAAGTTAAAAGACATAAATTACATTAAACTGACTTACGATTATGGAAGTATGATAGAAATCCACATGTTCTGTAAGCAGTACGTTTACAAAAGGAAGAAAAGCTGCTTAATTTTATATCACTTAGTGGTATTGGAATTGAGTTGAGATTTTGGGGGTAGTTTTTTAAGGCAGCTTTTGGAAGTGCTTTTGACCTTATGTGAAATATGGATCTTCTGAATTGAAATGAGATAATGAAATTTTAGTTTTGCTACGCTGATATTGTTAATGACTGTAACTTTACCTCTGATGCTGAGTATGCTAAACTTTTTTTCCCTTTTCTGACTATCCTTTTGTGATGCTGCATTTTAATCATGTGAACGATTTTCCACAGGCAATTATGTTTCAGGTTTTAATAAGGCTCACTTACCACAGGTATAATTTTGACTGTTTATTTTGATGGGAAAAATTTAAAATACTCCTTTTTTCCCCCCTGCAGAACATTCAGTCATGGATAAAAATGAGCTGGTTCAGAAGGCCAAACTGGCCGAGCAGGCTGAGCGATATGATGACATGGCAGCCTGCATGAAGTCTGTAACTGAGCAAGGAGCTGAATTATCCAATGAGGAGAGGAATCTTCTCTCGGTTGCTTATAAAAATGTTGTAGGAGCCCGTAGGTCATCTTGGAGGGTCGTCTCAAGTATTGAACAAAAGACGGAAGGTGCTGAGAAAAAACAGCAGATGGCTCGAGAATACAGAGAGAAAATTGAGACGGAGCTAAGAGATATCTGCAATGATGTACTGGTGAGAATTCCACATCCAGTCTGGCTTCATTACACTGTAGGGTTCCTATGAGTATCAGTTACATTACTCTCAACTTTTTCTTTCCTTGTTCTTTTCCTTCTAACATTGTGTGTTCCAAATTTAGAAGTCTTTATGGTGTCATGACTAAAAAGATGTTAATACAATTATAGATATGTTTATGTAGAATAATTGCAACAATGATTATGAAACAGTTGTTTTGTTAAAAATAATAGACTTTAGTATTCTATTTTATATTAATTGAAAAGAAAAACTAACAGTATTACTGTTTTTCTTATGGTTAGAATATTTGTAGTAGCTCTGTAGCTGATTGTCTTAAATGTACATCTATGGATAAAGGAATTTTGCATATTTAATGTGAGAGATGTAGTAGGATACTCATTGTAGAAATAGTACTCTTTGGATTAGCCGCTATAATGTTACTGTAATGAGTCAGTCATACAGAAAACTGGCCTCACAACTATGAAACCTCTTCCTGCATTGAATTGTTGAAAGTAAATTTTGAATACTCAACAACCATGATGAAAGGTTATGGATAACTCAAAGCTTGACTTTCCAGTTTGAATCAAGTATTTTAAGTATTCAGTACTTACTGTGTTGAAGCACTGTACTTAAAAGAATTAAACTAAACTTTGGTTAGTTTTAATCTGTCATACAAAAGCAAGGCTTTTTGATCAAGAATAGTTTAAATTTGAGGATAAACGAGTAGAAAATCCAACCAAGTTGGCAGTCTTTAGAATAATATTTAAAGTGGTTTTACTAAGTGGTTATACTTACCAGTATGGCAGGGCTCTGATATACAAAGAGGGACAGCATTTCGATTTTTCTGGACAGGTTACTGAATCTGGGACTCGGTATGGAAATCCGTGTGTGTTACTTACTATATGAACCTTGTGGAAGAATTGCTATAATGAATAATAGGATAATATCTGATGTGGTTGTATCTGTGTACATATTACTCAGTTTTTGTTCAGTCTGGTGTGTTTTGCCCAGTTACAGCTTATCAAAAAGTGTTTATTTTGGCTTCAAAGGATGTGTTACAAGTTAAAATTTCCCTTTAAGACAAAAGTCAATTTTAGGAACAAAAAGGAATGTTAATATTTACTTTTTACTAACATGCTTATTTGTAATACCAGGTAGGTATGTGCATGCAAAGTATAAAAGTTCCTGTCATTGTCTTTTCCTAGGAAAAGGCTTATAGCAGGTGTTTTTTTTTTTTTTTGGAAACAGTTTTGTACTTGTCGCCCAGACTGGAGTGCAATGGCACTATCTTGGCTCACTGCAACCTCTGCCTCCCAGGTTCCAATTCAAACAATTCTCCTGCCTCAGCCTCCTGAGTAGCTGGGATTACAGACACACGCAACCACGCCCAACTAATTTTTTGTATATTTGGTAGAGATGGGTTTCACCATGTCAGCCAGATGTCCTGACCTCAGGTGATCCACCCACCTTGGCCTCCCAAAGTGCTGGGATTACAGGCGTGAGCCATCACATCTGGTCCAACTTGTAGCAGTTTTAACTATGCTTCCCTTTGGTTTCCTTATCAAGAAATTTTTTTGCGTAGAACCAGTAAGTGAGAATGACAAGATAATCTCTTAATATTAATAGCTTCTTTTTGTTCGGATTATTAAGGAGGTTGATTCTGGTTCCTACTCATGTTATCCTCCAGAATAGCACTGACTTCTCTAAAAGGTTAAATGGCATTTCCCCTTTGAAAGTTTGGATGAATGAGAGTTTAATTCCTTTACTACACAGATGGCTTCGAAGAGAATTCTAAGCAAGCATTTGCTGCCAGCCTTAGTCTTTTGTTAAGAATATTAGTGATCTTTGCATACTCATAATGTGTAGTAGATGCTCAAATATTTGTTAAGCATAAAGGCTTCTTTTGAGAAAAAGGATAGAATTAGGTCAGCAGCACTACAAAATTTCCCTGGCTTTTTCTATTTCTGCTTGGGAAAATTTGATATTTACAGATAGTAGGCTTCTTTTTCCTACCATCTTTTTCAAAGAGGTCACGTTGACTCTGGCACCATCTTGCATAAAACGCCCTTTCCCCTTTCTAGTGAAGTGGAAGAATAAAATGTAGCAGAACTGATGTTTCTACCAGAGAAGGTTTTGTCGTACTTAATGATTAGTAAAGTGTTTTAATTATATTTTTAAGATCTTACATGATAAAAAAATTAATATTTTTTTATTACTCCAGACTTTTCTGAGCTTTGATATATATTTTTTTTTAATTTGAGAAAAGCAGGTTATTCCTTTGCAGAATTAACAGTATTGGCTGGTGGCATTAGTGATAACCAGCTTTTTTATATTGAGCACTTGTTTTATAATAGCTATGAAAATACACTCTTCCTACAAAAAGCAACTAATCTCCAAAGTTCTGAATTTTTCTGAAGAGCTCTTTGGTAACCCATTCTGGTTACCTGTATTTATTAATTGTTTAATCATTTAATAAGCAAAGAGTTGGGACCATGTTGCTTTTTACAACAGTTAGTAGAGTATTACCATGGGAAGTGGTCACTGGCATGTTCTTCACAATGTGGACTTTTCATTATGTAAAAGAAGTTGGGGTTCTTCTCTTCATGTGTTAATTTGAAACTGCAATATGTGAACAATCTGCCTTTCCTGCCAGATGCTTAGACAAAAGCTCTCTTGGTAATTGGGGAGGGACTTAGCACTGGTACCTCTTTAAACCTGAAAGATGGCAGCCAAAAATTGAGTAGTTTTTAACTTAGACATGATGAAGTGAACACCAAGGAAATACAGTCTTGGAGGCCTATTTCAAACTCAAAAGAAGTATGTCGAGATGAATAATAGAGCTCAAGATTTTGAGTCAAACTAGTTTTACCATTTAATAGATGCATGGCCTGAGGAAATCACTTAGTCCCTCTGAGAAAACTGAGCTCAATTAAGTAGGAATAATACTCATCCCACAGGATTGTAAGGAATGAGAGTCAGGTAAAGCACCTTGACTACCTTCTGTGTCCTGTTTATCTCAGCTTTTCTGTTCTGTTTAAAAGTGTGAACCTGCTTGTAATAGTGCAGGGGTCTCTTAACTCACAGTCCATGAATGGGATTTAGAAGATTGGTTTCTTCTTACTGCCCTGGAACCCACAGGAGCAGGCAGCTGGGGGTGGGGGTGTCGGCCCTGGAATAGGGGCTGTGGCAGATTGGGGGGACCCGGCTGCGGCGAGTCCGGGCTGGGCGGAAATGGAGCTGCAGGAAACTACTAAAGTTCCTGGGGAAGCAAAGTAGAATTTCATAAGAACAAAATGGATGGAGAGGAGAAAACCTATCTATGGTAGCTGTGAAGGCCCTGATGCCGTATGTTAAATTGATGTCATCTGATGGCAATGAATTTATTGTAAAAAGAGAACATGCATTAACATCAGGCATGATAAAAGCCATGTTGAGTGGCCCAGATCACTTTGCTGAGAATGAAACCAGAGGTCAGTTTCAGAGAGAGATACCTTCACATGTGCTGTCATTTTATGTATAAGGTTTACTACACTAAGAGCTCCACTGAGATTCCCGAATTCTCAATTGCACCTGAAATTGCACTAGAACTGCTGATGGCTGCAAACTTCCTAGATTGTTATATAAAATAAATTATAATAAACTGTTAAAGAAAAAAAGATTAAGAAGTCTTTAAAATTGTATGTTTTTCTGGGTGGAAGGTGCATGTCAACCATCAGATTTTCAAAGATTTTATTTTAAAATTTAAAGTCTGCTATAGGCAAAGAATGACTTTATTGGAGGTCTGGGAGAGGAAGCAGTGTAAAATTGTGTGTCTAACATAACAGTTGGCAACTGCAGTTGAGTAATGTTAATAGTGATCCTGTTAATTTGAGTTCTGTTTTATTGCTGCTCTATATTTTTATTTGCTCAGGGCAATTTTAAGGTGTGGTTATAGGGCACTGATTTGTAATCCAGCCCACAGAACTACCATTAAATAAGAAAGCAAGCAGCTTTTGGGTCTCTCTTAGTTTAAATATATTATTGCATGCCTTGGGCTTTAAAAACTGCTATGTAGAGTTAGTTTTTAAGATGAAAATCACTAGGCAGCTCATTGGAATAAGGGCTTCTCCAAAGAATTCTATAGTGTTACTATTTTATTAAGATACAGGAGAATTGCCTGAACCCAGGAGGCGGAGGTTGTGGTGAGCCGAGATCGTGCCATTGCACTCCAGCCTGGGTAACAAGAGCAAAACTCCGTCTCAAAAAAAAAAAGTTATACTATATTTAAATGTCTTCATGGTTTTGGTATGTTTCAAAGTATAAAGAATTCAAGTTCTGGTCTCAGGAAGGAAAAAATTGGACAGTGTCTTTAGTAATAAAGTTCAGTATTTTTTTTTAATGTGAAGTGCCCCACCCAATGACATATTTTGTACAAATATAAAAAGTCTGAGGTATATGAAGTGGAAATTACGAAAATAAAGGCAGGGAAATGGCAAGGTAGAGGCATTTGCTGTTTGATAGGAGGGGAAACTGTTATAAAGGTCTGCCTTTATAATACTGAATTAAATGTCATTGGATTATTTGGATTAATTTCACAAATTTTTGATTCCAAAGTAAGTTACTCAGGGCATATTTATATTGAAGTGTGTGTGTGAGAAAGAATTTTTAAGCAAAAATGACGGATGTCCTGATATCAAGTAAGTTTTAAAATTTAGCATATTGTTTATTGAAATTCTAATAGTCCTCGTAGAACTTTTTTTGGTAGAATTCCTCAGTTCCCTATTGTGATTTCATCCTAGTTTCCATTCCATAGCCTTTGCTCTGTTCTTGACAGTTTTACATTGAGAATAAGCACTACTCAAGGTTTTAGGGGACTTAAAACTGCTGTCAGCTTCAATATACTCAAATCCAGAGTTCCTCTTCCTTTTGAAACTGCCTGTCCTTTATAACTATCCAATTTTAGCATTTTTCTAGACTTAATCACATGACATTTGTTGGGCTCAACTTTGACTTTATTTTCAGATTACAAGCTGTTGATATTTCCCAGATCATTGGTTCCCAATCTTTTACATGGATGCTGAATTGTATAGTTCCCAGGATTACACTCAGAAAAGTGCACATTGCCAAATAAGAAAATGATACTATAAGGATAACTGGATGTACTTTTAATGGACAGAAGCTAAATTATCAACATCTTTTTACTGCTGCTCATGGTCATTCACCTGGACTATGTTACATATATTTCTTAGTCTAAACTTTCTAAAACGCTGATTTTATCCATCTATTTGCTTGATCCTTGCCAAAATTCCTTGCAAGAGGCTTTTAGCTTTAATTTGGTCTTCTCACTGTCCTTGATAAATACCATTGCTAATTACCATCTTTATGGCCTGAGGGTTTCTACTTCATTTCTCTGAGTTAGAACCTATTTTAATCTTGATTATCTGTCTTCCAACATCAGAGGATTGGCTCTATTCTTTCATTCTCCTTGAAAATGTTTGTGTATTTGTAAAGTACACTGAAGGAATATATGCTTTGATATACTTAGATGGCACAAATTTAAATTTTGGTGTGGGAAGAATGGTGTGCTTGGCCATCATATTAGCAGTTCTGTCTTTTTTATTATGTGTATTTCTATGTAACAGGTAATTTCTTTGTTCTCTAGTCAGTAATTCCTGTAATTATGAAAAGCTTGTATCGGTAAAAGTTACTGTGCGTTAGCAGTTGTCATTGATTTAGTTTTGTGTTTTCTGGTAAGGTATAATGAGATGGAAATAGTAGGGTAGTGTAGGATAGAGTTTTACATATTAGCAGATTTCACTAATTTTTTTTCTATTGCCATCCTTTTTATTTTCCAATAATGTGGATCTTTAGGCACCAAAGCAACGTGGATGAATATAGCTGACTTCATATCAGTCAGATAATTTTGTGTAACACCTGCCCTTTTATTTATATTGGATAGGTTATTTTAAAAGTTTCATCATGTAAGCTCTTGTGGATTTCTATTGACAGAATTTGTTGTGAGCCTTCCTTTCTCCCAGAAATAAAAAATGTGCTTACAGTGGTAATAGATAAAATAATTTAAGGATAGTTTCAGCCAAGTATTAATCCATAAAGTTAAGTAGACCAATAAAAAGATTTGCTTAAGGGGTTGGCCTATATGCATGTGTTGAACTTTAAAATCTGAGAAAGATTATTGCATTAAATTTGCAGGGAGTCCCCAATTTTTGTTGTATTTGCATTTTATTTGGGTCATCTAATGAGTTGGGAAGTTAGAAACATTTTTTGTTTTTTTGTCGTCATTGTTTTTTTTGTTTTTTTTCTGAGACAGGAGTCTCTCCCTGTTGTCCAGTGGCAAGATCTCACCTCACTGCAACCTCCATGTCCCGGATTTAAGTGATTCTCCCTCCCCAACCTCCCAAGTAGCTGGGACTACAGGGGCCCCCACCATGCCTGGCTAATTTTTCTATTTTTGGTGGAGATGGGGTTTCGCCATGTTGGCCAGGCTGTTCTTGAACTCCTGACCTTAGGTGATCTGCCCATCTTGGCCTCCCAAAGTGCTGGGTTTATAGGCACGAGCCATCTTGTTTAGCCCTGAATTGTTTTTTTAGTGGCACTTAATTTCTAACTTGCAAACAATTTTTAGGATCTAGAGTTTTTAAAAATTAGTATTATTACCAAGAAACCCAGTGGTGACCAGAATATTTTTCATCTAAGTGATTAATTACAAATGCTTTTCTAAGAAAGACCTATTGTTGATCCAAGACTGAACATTCAGCTCATAATTTTTTTGCTCCTTAAAATGTAATAAACATTGTCCAGAGGTTAGAATGACATTCTTGGACCACATTCAACCAAGAGATGCTTGATGAAAATATTACGCAAAATACCTATTTAAAATGTGATTCTGTGGAATTGACAGTTGAGGGTACTATTATAGGTAAGCTGTAGTTCTGGGCTAGAACAAGCAAGTTCTCAGTTCAACAATTTGATGAGTCCTTTAGCACTATTTGGAAGATGTTTGGAAATAAGACATAGCAAGTAATCTGCTTTTTGTAAGAGTAATGACTTTCTTGCCAGTTTCCCTTTGATTGTTGCCATCTAATGGAGGACTATCGTCAGGCTCTTTTTCTTTAATTGGAGCAGAGATGAAACTTTAAGCATATTCCTGTGTAACATTTCTAAAAGTAAAGAGTGCTAAAGTGTGTACTGCCTACTTTAAGAGAGGTGATATAACTTAGCACGGGCCATGCAGACTTTGAATTTTGGATTCATTGTGTGATTTGGGGCAAGTTTTACTGAATTTCTCTGTGACTGTTTCCACATCTTTAAAATGGGAGTAATACTATCTACCTCTAGGATGTCTTGGGGAAATTGTTTAATTAATACACCTCATGGTGGTCTTAAATAGCAAATACACTGCTTACCTTTTGTACCTCTGTGGCATCACTTCGTTATGGTTTGATTTATAAAGTTTGGATTAAATTTAAGAGAACTTTAAAAAGCTGAATTTTTTTTTTTTTTTTTTGAGACGGAGTTTCGCTCTTATTACCCAGGCTGGAGTGCAATGGCGCGATCTCGGCTCACCGCAACCTCCGCCTCCTGGGTTCAGGCAATTCTCCTGCCTCAGCCTCCTGAGTAGCTGGGATTACTGGCATGCGCCACCGTGCCCAGCTACTTTTTTGTATTTTTAGTAGAGACGGGGTTTCACCATGTTGACCAGGATGGTCTCGATCTCTTGACCTCGTGATCCACCCGCCTCGGCCTCCCAAAGTGCTGGGATTACAGGCGTGAGCCACCGCGCCTGGCCTGAAATGTTTTATATTTAATATTTGGTCACTTGCTATTTTATAAGCCCTGTGCATTACAAAAATAAATGTAAAAGCCCCTGCTATTCAGTCTGGAGAGGGAAATAGACATGTGCACATATAATAAAAAGGGAAGAGTACTGCAAATTCACTGAACATGGAAAAGCTGGTCTTTAGTGTTTTTTAAAAAGGGGTTGATAAAATATAGTCCCCTTATGGAGTTTATCCACAATACATAGAGTACACATACATACAAGCCAAAAAGTGCTATGAAAAATGAGGCATTTTAAACACCACCACCAACAAAAAGCATTGTGATGGAAATACTGGTAAATTGGGCCTTGGTTTATGGGAAACTTTAGCCCAGGCCAGGATCCTAGGGGAGGGGAGAAGAGGAAAGCCCTCAGTGAGAGTGTCAATGATTTTTAAGTTTTAACTTAAAACTGGTCATTAGGGGGATGGGGGGAGGTTGGGAAGGGATAACATGGGGAGAAATGCCAGATACCGGTGATGGGTGGTAGTGGGGGGGATAGAGGCAGCAAACCACCTTGTCATGTATGTACCTATGCAACAATCCTGCATGATCTGCACATAGAGTTTTTAAAAATTATTGTACAATAATTAAAAAACTGCTCATTAAGTTCTTTTTGATACTTGTTAATATTTCACTTTTGATCTTTAGGAGTAATATTTCAAATTTGTTTTCAGATGTTCTTAAAACTGATTCCTTCTAGGATTATTTTGCTAGCATTCATGATCTGGAGGGAGACACTTCTCTGAATCTGATTTAATGTAGCAGTTTTTATTCCTGCTTCTTGCTAGCCTTTTCACCCGATTGATTTTTCAAAAAAACAACATTTTAGAACCGTCTGGGGATTTCTATAAGCAATTGTTTAGTGCAGACATCTTTTGGGGTAAAAATCACGGAACAGCTACTCTTTTAACAGGAATTATATTTAATAATAAAACTTTAGGCTGGCTTTAACAGTTCTTAAACATCAGGGATAATATACTTTTCCTTTGTCAGATTTCTTTTCGATTAAAAAATTCAGATTTGTCATCTGTTATTAATGGAAAAATGCATTTAGTTAAGTGATTGGGCACAAGCAACTCTGTTCGTTTTTATATATGACTTTATTCAAAAAACATCTGTTCATAGCTTAAAATCTTACTCTCTTAGGCCACTTTGCATAGAAAGATAAGAATTTAAAGTCAAAATGTCTACAAATACTTAATAAATTAGTTCTTGACACCACCTGATTATTAGCATTTTTGGTGTAGCACTTTTCTAATTGGTTGATGGAAAGCAAGTGAGGAAGTTGCACATCAGAGAAGAATGGAAGCCACTCTGGCCACAAGGGGGAGTAAAAGACTAATTTCCAAATCTATGGGCCCCTAATGTGTGACAGATTAATGGCTTCTTGCATGCTTTCTTTTTAAAATTTTAAGAGACCTAGGAATTATAAAAGGCCCAGTGTTTGTACAGAGTAACAATTATAGGAAAGTTATCTCCGCACAAGAGAATTGTACAAGATTAGAAATTTGAACTACATTATGCTGGAGATTTGGAATTAAATTTCCTATTGATGGTGTTATTAAAATGACATTTGTGGGATATTTTTGTGAGCTTTTAAATTGAATAACACAAGCTGGGAGTTTTATATAATTTATAGAATGTGTTTAAATATACAAAAATTTCGTAGTCATTGAATTTCAGGGTTGAAGGGACATCTAGTTTAGCCTTTTTATTTTAACAGATCAAGAGACTACACCTCAGAGGTTCAGCTGTTTACATGAGGTCAGACAGTAAGCATTAGTTATCTGTAGTTCCTTAATGTAGTATCACCTTATTGTAGATTGAAACATGACATTTACTCTATCAAGATACTTGGTTTGTGGGGGTGGGGCATGAGGAGTCGTCAGAATAACAAAATAAATAATGAATCATTAAAAACAGTGGTTTTTATTTTAGACTATGTTTTAGAGTCCTGTACTGAATGAGAATCACTTTTGAGGGCTCTTGTGCCTTAATTACTTGCTACCTCAACCATTTAACTTCTGGTGTTGTGTATGCTTTGTATGAAAGCAGGCATATCTGTGTCCCAATCTCTGTTTGTTGTAGAGGATGAGAACCATGGCAGTACAATCTAAAACAGAGCAATGGGTTATAGAGGCTTGATCTTTCTCCCGCTCACGTTATTTGGTGAGATTATGTCAAAGTTAGCCCAACTGTGTTCACAAATTTCAATTCATAAATGTCTCATTAGAGGTTGATTCTTTTGCTTTAATATTATGGGGGTATTTGCTGTTTGCTAATGACACTTAATGTCTAATTATCTTTGTGCAAATTAAATTTAATATTATGACCAGTTGGTGAAATACTCTCAAGACAAGATGAAAACTTTCTCTCTACCACTCATATTTGTTTACAAATGTATCATTGTTTTTGTACCATTTCTCTCCTAAATAAAAAAGTAATACCAGCCATGTAAGGAAATTTGAAAAAAAAAAAAAGAGTGTAAAAAGGGTATGAGAAAGGGTATCTTTCAGAAATAAAGCCAATTAAAAAGGACTTCTTTAAAATTTATTAACTTTTCATTTTGAAATAATTTCAGATTTAGAAAGTTGGAGAATAGTATGAAGAGTTTTTAATATATTTTGTTCAAATATTAATGTTATAACCACCACAGTATAATTATTAAAATCAATAAATTGATAAAAAAAGTGATAAGCTATTATATAACCTATAAACCTTAATTAAATTTAATAAATTGTTTTACTGTAATATCCTATTTCTGCCCCAGAATCCATCCAGAATCATACTTTTCGTTTTGCTTACACGTCTCTTTACTCTACTTTAACGTGGATCAGGTTTTTTTAGTCTTTGCCTTTAATGATTTTAGCACTTTTTCTTTTTTTTCATGTGTTAAAAAAGTGACATTCTTTTATTACTATCCGCAGATGGGGCCTGCATGAGGTGGTTGGTGTGCTGGGCTCGGGACAATGAGTGGGCTGTGGAGATGTTGACAGAAAGGCTGGAAGGAAATGGGGTGGATTTGAAGGCCAGGCCTGAAGGGGTCCTCAGGTCCGCTTCTGGGAAGGGACAGCCTTGAGGAAAGAGTCGTTGCAAGCCATAGCTAGGTCGCCAATCGCATTAAGAAATTCTGAGAAATCCAGCTGCCTGTCACTGTTAGCGTCCAGTTTCTTCATCATGCAGTCAAGGACAACGGGGTCCTTCTGGTTCTTTGTGAAGGCAGCCAGTTGTGTATTAATGAAGCTTAGGATCTCCGTCTTGGAGAGAGTGTAGTTGTAACCATCCTTTCCAGCATACTTCTGGAAAGCAGCAATCAGGGACTGATGCACCCTCAGTCTCTGTAGGGCTGGAGATTTTTGCCATGTTGGAGGCGTGCGGGAGGCTGTGGCTGGGAGCGGTGCTGAAAACTCTGGGTGCGTGGCGTGCGGGTCTCGATTTTGGCACTTTTTCAAGAGCACTGGCTGGTTATTTTGTAGAATGTCTCTTAGCTTTGATTTGTCTGGTATTTTTTTTTTTTTTAAGATGGAGTCTCACTCTGTCCCCCAGGCTGGAGTGTAGTGGCATGATCCTGGCTCACTTTGCAACTTCTGACTCCCAGGTTCAAGCGATTCTCCTTCCTCAGTCTCCTGAGTAGCTGGGTTACAGGAGCCTGCCATCATGCCTGGCTAATTTTTGTATTTTTAGTAGAGACAGGGTTTCACCATGTTGGCCAGGCTGATCTCAAACTCCTGACCTCAAGTGGTCTGCCTGCCTCGGCCTCCCAAGGCAAGAGCCACTGCGCCTGGCCTGTCTGGTGATTCTTCATGATGACATTTAGATTGTGAGTTTTTGGTGAGAATTTCTGGAAGTGATATGGTGTCCTCCTTAGTGTATTATATTAGGAGGCACATGGTATTGTCCAGCTACTTAACCAAGTATATTTAGATGGTGCATTATGTTGAATTTAAACAAAACACACCCCATGGTGCAAAGTACCCATCGATTTTTTTTTTTTAAAGATATATGCCTCTAATTATGATTACTTTGTCAGAGGTTACAAATGAAATTATTTTGCCGAAGTGCTTTTTAAATAAGCTATGTCCATTCATACTGAATAGGTTGCTTTTTCAAAGGAGGAAAATGATCCCAGCTCTGTAATTTGTAATTTTCCTTTCAAATTTATTTTTGTTAGTTGCCTTCTTATTCTAGTTGGCAAGCCCAAATCGCAGCACACAGCACAGTGGTTTGAGTGTATAGTGGCAGGGTAGCCATTCTTCAAGGCTGAGATAAATGTGCAAATACTTCATGATTGAGTTCTTGCTCATCATTTTGGGGTTTGGTCTAAGGACCTTTTGTCTATAAATCCTCTGATTCCCTTTTAAGAAAAAAACCGATCTTGAATTTAAAGAAATATAAAGGGATAGTTAGTGGTGGGGGTGGGAAATTGATTACATTAGAAGAGATTTCCTGGCATTGGAAGGGAGATTTTTAAATTAATGCTAGAGTGAAACACAAGAAGATCGGAGTGAAGAGGAAGCTGGTCATAATTTTGTATTTGAAATGTCTGTCGTGTCTCTTAGTTAGCAGAATTAGTACCATAATCTAGAATTCTTGACTTCTAAACAAAGTTTACTCTGCCTTACAACCTCACACTCTTCCAGCTCTCTCCCCAGGGTATTTCTTAGGTTCCTCTGTGTTCATTACATAGAGGAGCTTATCCATATTTGGAGGTACTTAGCCTGTCCCTTTGCTGCTGTTTCTAAATATATATGTTTAGTTCAGCACTCACTTGTTTTTTTTTTTTTTTTTTTTTTTTGAGACGGAGTTTCGCTCTTGTTACCCAGGCTGGAGTGCGATGGCGCGATCTTGGCTCACCGCAAGCTCCACCTCCTGGGTTCAGGCAATTCTCCTGCCTCAGCCTCCCGAGTAGCTGGGATTACAGGCACGCACCACCGTGCCCAGCTAATTTTTTGTATTTTTAGTAGAGACGGGGTTTCACCATGTTGACCAGGATGGTCTCGATCTCCCGACTTTGTGATCCACCCGCCTCAAGCACTCACTTGTTATACTAAATGAGCAATTTCTTAAGTTTTTAGAAAGTAGAACATTGTTTTGTCTCTTAGAGCAGAATATTCATTATTGAACATAGTGTCAACCTCAATAATTTCTGTTAGGTTTTTTGGTAAGGTGATAACACTTTTGATGATGAAGATTTTCTGAAAAATAGTTTTGCTTGTTTGTTTGTTTTCTGAGATGGAGTCTCACACTGTCACCCAGGCTGTAGTGCAGTGGTGCGATCTGGACTCACTGCAATCTCTGCCTCCCGGGTTCAAGCAATTCTGCCTCAGCCTCCCGAGTAGCTGGGACCACAGGTGTGCACCACCACACCCAGCTAATTTTATTTTTGTATTTTTAGTAGGGACGGGGTTTCACCATGTTGGCTAGGATGGTCTCGATCACCCCACCTTGGCCTTTCAAAGTGCTGGGATTACAGGCGTGAGCCACTGCACCTGGCCCTGAAAAATAGTTTTTAGGATGTTGAGCTAGTAAAATATCCTCCAAGATCATTTTAAAATTTGTTTTATTTAAATGAAGCTATTAAAGTTACACACATTATTCAGTGGGGAATTTAATATTTTTGAGTGCTTAAAATGTGTAGAACATGCCTTAAATAGAGCCTATATAAGTAGGTTAAGAATATATATGTGTGTGAAAAGTTAAAGGTGCAAAGCTGTAATTATTTATTGATTTTGAGATGGAGTCTCACTCGCTGGAGTGTAGTGGTGCAATCTTGGTTCACTGCACCCTCTGCCTCCTCGGTTCATTCAAGCAGTTTTTCTGCCTCAGCTTCTTGAATAGCTGGACTTAGCTGTGTACTGCCATGCTTGACTGATTTTTGTAATTTTTTTTTTTCCTAGTAGAGATGGGGTGTCACCACGTTGGCCAGGCTAGTAATCTTTATTTTTAATTGTACTTGCTCTGAATAAGAATGTAGGTGTTAACAGAGCATAGAATGTAGAGGGAAAAAATAAAGCTGCTGGGACCTCATCCTGCCTTCTCAGAGGTAATCTCTGTTAAGTTTTTTGTGTATCCTGGGAATTTATGCGCAAAGCAAACAATTATATCCTTAAAGAATAAGGATCATATACTCAATTTTGTAAATTGAACTTACATACATACTTTGATGTATATCTTACGCTTCATGTTGGCAGATACCACCTCACTCTTTTTTATTTTCTTTCTTTTTAAGGTGGAGTCTTGCTCTGTCACCCAGGCTGGAGTTGCACATGGTGCGATTTCAGGCCACTGCAACCTCCACCTCCTGGGTTCAAGCGATTCTCCTGCCTCCCAAGTAGTGGGGATTATAGGTGTCTGTTACCACACCCAGCTAATTTTTGTATTTTTAGTAGAGATGGGGTTTCACCATGTTGGTCAGGCTGGTCTTGAACTCCTGACCTCAAGTAATCCACCTACCTTGGCCTCCCAAAATGTTGGGATCACAGACATGAGCCACTGCAACCTGCCAGTAACTCCTCATTCTTAATGTCTGTATAGTATTCTATTATTTGGGTATGTAACAACTTAGACTGTTTTTTTTCTTTTTCTTTTTTTAAGATAGGGTCTCCCTCTGTCACCCAGGTTGGAGTACAGTGGTGCACTCACTGCAGCCTTGATGTTCTGGGCTCAAATAATCCTCCCACCTGAGCCTTTGGAGTAGCTAGGATTATAAGTGTAAAATCTACCCTACTACCGCACTAGGCAAAATTTTTAAATTATTTTTAGTACAGACATGAGGTCTTGCTATATTGCTTAGGCTGGTCACTAACTCCTGGCCTCCAGCAGTCCTCCCAGCTCAGCTTTCCAAAGTGATTGTGATTAAAGGTATAAGCTACCACACCTGGCCATTAGTCCCTTATTAACAGAACTTAGGATATTTACCTTTTTTCGCTCCTTAAATTAAAAAGCTCTATGCTACACACTAGCTGTACAGACAATGTAGATGAAGCTAAATAGCTTTAAAGAATTCGCTTTAGGGAGAACATAGCATTAGAGCTAGAAATGAAAAGGTATTTAGCACAGATTCTTTTTATTTTTCCAGCTTTATTGAGGCATGGTTGGCAAAAAACAAATGTATGTAAGGTGTACAACATAGCAGAGGTTACTTTAAATTAACAGTTCTTAAAGTGATAAGCCAACCATTGGGAATCCATTCGGGAGATGTATGTTAGGTCACAACTATTTTCTTTTGAGATGGAGTCTTGCTTGTTGCCCAGGCTGGAGTGCAGTGGTGTGATCTTGGCTCACCGCAGCCTCCGTGCCTCCTAGGTTCGAGAGATTCTCCTGCCTCAACCCTCCCTAGTAGCAGAAATTACAGGTGCATACCACCACACCCAGCAGCTAATTTTTGTATTTTTAGTAGAGATGGGGTTTCACCATCTTGGCCAGGCTGGTCTTAAGCTCCTGACCTCATGTTCCACCCACCTCGGCCTCCCAAAGTTCTGGAATTGCAGGCTTGAGCCACCGCGCCCAGCCAGGTCACAAGTATTTTCATGACAAATACTATTATTATTGATTCTTACTACTGTGTTGACATTTAGCACTGGTGCAAAAGCAAGAATAGCTCAAACAACTACCACTAATCAAGGCAGTGGTACTATACTGTACTAGTGGTTATTGTATTTCTTCACCATTATGCACTCACTGTTTCTTTTAAAAAGAAAAAAGACTGGTTTTTCTTAATGTCCTTGGATCTGAAACATTATTTTATTAATAGCCCTTAAATAGACATCCTTCTATGAGGCAAAATGGGAAGTACAATGGTTATCTCTAAGAAAAGCACTTGCAGTTATTTGCATTGTGAAATAAGCTAGTTGCTTTTCTTTTTTTCATGAACACTTTTGTCTTCAAAGAACTGCAGGCTGATAAGCTGTGACTACTCAGACTTAGGTGTTTGACATACATCTTAAATAAATCGAGCCTGTCGTTTTAAGGGAAAATGATATTTTTGACAAAGATAAAATTGAAGCTTTGGAGCAAAATTGAGAACTTTGGAAAATAACTATTCACCACCATGATACTAGTTTTCCACTTTTTTATGACTGTAAAGGGATCTTGAGACAAACTTTGAGGCCATAAATTGTTGCTACCATTTAGGGTTTTGTTTTTGTTTTGTTTTGTTTTTTTCCTAGAAAATATACCTTTTTTAAGAGACATAATTTAAGGTAATATTATTTAAATATAAGGAACTTAGATCATATAAGAGGGAGTTCAGAACTAAGATGGTTTCTGGCTGGGTTAAGATCAATTACTGCAGTGCAAACAGTACTTAAAGTCTAATGTCGCCGGGCGCGGTGGCTCAAGCCTGTAATCCCAGCACTTTGGGAGGCTGAGGCGGATGGATCACGAGGTCAAGAGATCGAGACCAACCTGGTCAACATGGTGAAACCCCGTCTCTACTAAAAATACAAAAAATTAGCTGGGCATGGTGGCGTGTGCCTGTAATCCCAGGAGGCTGAGGCAGGAGAATTGCCTGAACCCAGGAGGCAGAGGTTGCGGTGAGCCGAGATTGCGCCATTGCACTCCAGCCTGGGTAACCAGAGCGAAACTCCGTCTCAAAAAAAAAAAAAAAAAAGTCTAATGTCTTTCACGTTAGGCTTTTACCTTCCAAAAGGATGGCAGCACTGCTTGGTTGCTTACTATGTCCCAGACTCTGCTAAATGCTTACTATATATTAATTCATTTAATCCTTACAACAATCTTGTGTATTATGTCTACTACTAATGTCCAGCTTTTACAGATGAGAATCCTGAGGCCCAGGAAGATTTCAGAGCTTTGTCAGGGTGACAAAGTTTGAATTTAGACATTAAGCAGTCTGTCTCCATAGTTTGTGCTCATAACAAGTCTCTTGTTTAAAAGGAGAAAATAAGTACTAAAGAAAATGTTTTTTTATCTTTTGTTCTTTGATGTATCTTAATCCTATGTTTTTAAATGCAAGCTTTTTTGCATCTTATTTCACCATTTTTCCTAGGTATGCAAATTTTAGATTTAAGGTAAGCCAAAATGATGTACTTAAGAGTACAGGAGCACTAAAGCAGATTTTTGAATGCCAAACTCTCCTTACTTTTTACATATAACTGAGCAACGAGTGAGTAGAGGGCCTCCTCTGGGCTGGGAGCTGTGATTGGTGCCTTCCTGTTTATATGCTCATTTAGACTTCATAACAGCCTTTTGATATGGATTTTCATGTAGATGAGAAAATAAAAATTAGCTATTGTGTAAATTCTTAAAATTAATTGGCTAAGGTGGAATTCCAAGTCTGCCTGGTTTTAGAGTTTATACGACTTGCATTACACCAAGCTCTTATTCTAAGAAGTGTTGAATGCCCAATTAAAGTCTTGCCACCAGCTCAGGCAGCAGTTTTAGTGGTTCAGGGTAATCATACTGAAAGACCAATGAGAAAGGCATATCTCTAGAACAGAGATGGATTCTCAGTTCATTAACTTTTCATTAAAAATACTTGACCACACTCAGGAGTGAGTGTTTTCAAAAATTTGTATTCGTTGGAACAGGTTGAGTCTATCCCAAGAAGGGATCAGAACTAGATGACCTATCGATTTATGTGGTTTCTTTATTTTTATAGACTTCTTAATTTTAAAGACAAAACATCAGTGTGAATGTAGACTTTCTTTTGATTAAGGCATCTGTTAGAAATTTGTTAATACATTCTGCCTGGGTAAGCTGACTGGCTTGGGAAGAATGCTGTTTGAACCCCATCTCTTGGAAGTGTTTTCACAATCTAAGAGGTTAATTAATTATATCACAATGCAGTAGAGAGAAAAATCTCTTTTATCTCTAAAATCTCAAATTTCATGTAATTCACCTGTTGATGAGGTTAGGTATTAGTGTCCTGTCTTCAGAGCCTGTATCACATATTTAACTCTGAATTAGGAGCCATTTACCAAGGAATATGAGATACCGGCTTCTTGTGGCATCTCTCTGTTGAGTAAATAACTTCTTATCCCACTTAATATTAGGATGACTGCTGTATAAATGCATTAACTCTAATTCAGCAAATTAATTGGGTATTTTAAAAAATGTTGGCCATGATATCTTTAAAAGACAGTGGCTGTTATGAAAAAACATATTTAAAAGTTAATGGTTTGGGAGGCTGAGACAGGTGGATCACCTGAGGTCAGGAGTTGAAGACCAGCCTCGCCAACATGGTGAAACTTCATTTTTACTCTTTGGTAAAAACATCAAAAATGAGCTGGGTGTAGTGGTGGGCACCTGTAATCCCAGCTACTTAAAAAGCTGAGACAGGAGAATCGCTTGAACCTGGGAGGCGGAGGTTGCAATGAGCCAAAATTGCACCGTTGCACACCAGCCCGAGCAATAAGAGTGAAACTGTCTTAAGAAAGAAAAGAAAAAAGTTAATGGGAGCCAGGCAAGCTATGATTGGGCCGCTGCATTCCAGGTAGTGTGACAGAACGAGACCCCATCTCTAAATAAAAAATTTTTAAAAGTTAATGGGAGGGAGAAAAGTAAAACCATACACATTTTGAAGTAAACAGAGGAAATACTGTGGATTTTGAAATGAGATTATATTTCAGAAAGATTCAGCAGATTAACATTTAGCCTTGGTTTCCTGCTTGAGTGTACAATGTTACTGAGTTTTGTTTGACCTGAAAATCCTCTGGATTTGGTTTAAAAACTTAATGTACTACACTAATTGAAAAATTTTACAAGTTGAATTCCTTCTGTCAGCTTAGTCCTTGTTTTACAGTTGATATTGTGACACTTAGTATACTACCTTGTATTATGCTGTGCCCACTACTTCCCCTTTTTACTTCAGACTCAAAATATTTCAGCATTGCTTTCATTGTACTATTGTAGGTGTATGAAATTTAGGAGGTTGATTTCTGTGTTGAGCAGGATATTATCTGAAGTTACTTCATATTTTGAAAGTAGCTATCAGCCCTTTCCTCCCTCCCATTCTCTACCTTGCTTACCTCCATGTTTTCCCCTACTTTGCTGTTACTACTGCTTTCTGGTATGTGCTGCTTCCTTTTTCTTTTGTTCTTTTGTTCATTTTTTCTATTCTTGCTACATTTGGTTTTTTTTCCCTTTTTTTTGGAGACAGTCTCATTTTGTCACCTAGGTTGGAGTGCAGTGGTGCGATTTTGGCTCACTGCAACCTCCACCTCCTGGGTTCAAGCACTTCTCTGTCTCGACCTTCCAGTAGCTGGTATTATAGGTGCCCGCCACCATACTTGGCTAATTTTTGTATTTCTAGTAGAGATGGAGTTTCTCCATGTTGGTCAGGCTGGTCTTGAACTCCTGACCTTGTGATCCGCCCTCCTCCAGCCTCCCATAGTGTTGGGATTACAGGCATGAGCCCCCATGCCTGGTGTATCTTCTAACTTCCAAATCTGGAAAACTTGCATTTATTATTTTTTGGTCAGTTTTAGAAGTCAGCATACTTAATTGCCTCTTTTATGTTACCTTTAACTTAATTCTGTGAACTCTGTATCTTCCCTTAGAATTGAAAAAGAACATGTGTACAAACATCCAGTTAGATAGTAGAAATAAATTCTAGTATTCGATAGCACAGTAGGGAAATTATAGCTAACATTTATTTCTTAATTTTACCAAAGTAGCTAGAAAAATTTTAATGCTCCCAACACAAAAGATCAGTGTTTGAGGCTGGGTGCAGTGGCTTACGCCTGTAATCCCAGCACTTTGGGAGGCTGAGGCGGGTGGATCACCTGAGGTCAGGAGTTCGAGACTGGCCTGGCCAACATGGTGAAACCCATCGCTACTAAATATACAAAAGTTAGCCAGGCATGGTGACACACGCCTGTAATCCCAGCTATTCGGGAGGCAGAGGTTGCAGTGAGCTGACATTGCGCCACTGTACCCCAGCCTGGGTGACAGAGTGAGACTCTGTCTCAAACAAAAAAAAGATCAATATTTAAGGTGATGGATATTCCAGTTACTCTGATTTGATCATTATATATTGTATTCATGTATCAAAATCACATGTACCCCCCCACAATATGTATAACTATTTATGTCAATTAAAAATTTCTTTTAAAGAAACATGACATCTGATTTATGGATTTCCTCTAAAAAATAACTGAGTTATCTCTTTAGTTTCTTGTTATGCCTTTACGAAAAGAGGGAACTCTGAGTAGGTTACCTATTCCAGATTGGACCACTCATAAGTTTTCCCATATTGGACAGAAATCTTCCTCTTGCTAAATTTAATTGGTCTTTTCTCTTGAAGCCATTCATGTCCTCTTCTTTGCATTATGCTGACAGTTTGTAACATACTCGCCGTAACTTTGATTCCTGCTTGTGGAATCACATCCTTTTTAGTAGTCCTATCACCCCATTGAGGCTGGGAAAATGTTCTTTTATAGTTAGCCTTTTTGAGCTATACTGTTAGTTCTTTTAAATTTAATCTTTAATCCAGTCTGTCTTGGTTTTTGGTTTCTAAATCTTAATTAGCTTCAGTCATTGGTTGATTTAATACAAGTACTCCATTTATGCCTGTCTTAACTCTCACCGTCAGCATCTCACCGGAAACGGGAGTACAAGTTAGATTGCCTAGTTGGAGTTGCACCTTCACAAACTTGGCAGTGATTTCATTACACTGTTGGGCCCCCATTGTCTTCTATAAAATGGGGATAATTGTAATTTGTACCTCATAGATAGGGTTAGGAAAAGATCAAATTACATTATCTGTAGAAGACAGTCAGTCAAAAATGTCACCTGTGTTTACTTTTGAAATAATGTTATTATGATTATTAAAATTATAGCATCCTTGTTTCAGGTATCAATTGCCATACAACAAACCATTCAACATTTAATGACTTAAAGCAATGATTTATTCTTGTGGCTCTGTGGCCTGGTTGGACCCTGAATATGGAGTGTTTTTCACATGGTGTTGGCTGGGGTCACTCTCTCAGTATTTAGTTGGAAGTTCATCTGGGGCTGAAATACACAAGATGGCTTCACTTATATGTCTAATGGGTTGGGGCTGGCTTGGCCTTTCTCTTCAGCAGGGTAGTTTTGACTTCTTGCACACTGGCTCAAGAGAACAAAAGGAGAAGCCTCTAGAGCTTTTAAAGGGTTAGGCCCAGAACTGGAATAGCCATCTCTTCTGCATTCTGCTGGTCAAAGCAAGTCAGTAAAACCAGCCTGGACTCCAGGAGAAAGGAACTAAATCCACCTCTTAACAGGAGGAGGAATGACACACATTACATTAACAAGGATGGCAGGGACTTGGTGGAGGCTATCTTTGAAGAAAGTCTACCACATTTCTGTTCTTTCACAGCTTTTTTGAGAACTATAGTGTTAGCCCCTTTAAATTTAATCTTTAATCCAGTCTTTCTGGTTTTGGGTTTTTAAATCTTAATTAGCTTATGTCATCGGATGATTTAATAGAAGCATGCCATTTATTCCTTTCTCACCTCTTATAGTCAGCATCCCACCAGAAACACTTGCCACTTATTTGGTCCTTTTGCTCTATCATTAGGCCAATAAGCAGCCTGACTGCTGTTTACCCAGCCTTCCTATTACTTGTGAGTTCTAATAAATAGCTTTAAAGTTGTTGTTTTATGGTTAATTCACTGTTTATCTTTGGGGAAAGAAGTGCTTAACTGCCATTTGAATTCCCAGGGAATTACTTAGTTCAGCATATTACCCCATTGTAAAATGAAACATGTAGGGATTCCAAAGTTACTACCTACAAAAGATAGATTACTAATTTTAGTAGCATTTATCAACACCTTTCTTAAGTTTTTAGTATAGCTTTAAAATTTTACATCTTGTGATTGGTTCATTCTTAAGTAACTGCATGTGTTTATGGCCTTCATTTCTACATATGTAGAGTGGTTTAAAGTTTTTCAAAATGAAGGATGTGATTATCAGGCAGTGTTACTCTTCTTTTTTTGAGACAGTCTCACTGGCACCCATCCTAGAGTACAGTGGTACAATTTAGCTATGACTCACAGCAGCCTCAAACTCCTGGACTTAAATGATCCTCCCATCTCAGCCTCCCAAGTAGCTGAGACTGTAGGTGCATGCCACCACACTGCTAACTTTTAAATTTTTTTTGAGAGGTGGGATCTCATGTTTACTGGGCTGATCTCAAACTCCTGGTCTCAAGAAGTGATCTTCCTGCCTCTGCCTCTCAAAGTATTCGGATTATAGGAGCCACCATGCCCTGCAATACTTGTTTTAAAGTGTACTGTCATGGAAGGAATGACAGTCTTGTCTCTACAGCTAGATTATGAAGTACCATCATATTGTGCTTACTTCTAAGTGCTTACCTGTATTTTTTCTCAACAATCTTAGAGGTCTCTGCCTTACAGGTAAGATAACTGAATCATTGAGATTAAGTTGCTTACACAGTGTATAATGCTGTAATTCAAACCCAGACTCATCCCAAAGCCACTGTGCTTGTATCATCTCCCATAATTGAATGAATAATACATTTTGTATAACAATGTGAAACTTAAAAAAAAAAAACCCTGGTTATTTGTTTCTTAAGACCATTAAGTGGAAAAACCCAGTTAACTATTTTAAATGCAACTATCTTCCACTGTTTGAGGCAGATCTCCACAGAGCAACCATAGAGGGTAAAAAGCATTGTGTTCAAGGGACAACAAAACACTTTTGCAGCTAAGAAAACTGTGAATGTGAAAGTATGGATGTGGTGTATAATACAGAGTTTGCTATCTTAACCAAAATGCTCTTCTGATTTCAGGCCAGTAGTTTTATTTATTTATTTATTTTGAGACAAGAGTTTTGCTGTGTCATCCAGGCTGGAGTGCAGTGGTGCAGCCTTGGCTTACTGCAACCTCTGCCTTTTGGGCTCAAGTGATTCTCCTGCCCCAGCCTCCCAAGTAGCTGAGATTACAGGCATGCGCCACCATGCCTGGCTAATTCTTGTATTTTTAGTAGCGACAGGGTTTTACCATGTTGACGAGACTGGTCTCAAACTCCTCACCTCAAGTGATCCTGCTGCCTAAGCCTCCCAAAGTGCTGGGATTATAGGCATGAGCCACTGCGCCCGGCCTTAGGCCAGTATTATTGAATACCACTTAATAGTGACAGGAAACATAACTTCAGGTTGACGTTTCTCACCTTTAACCTCTTACAGCACAGTGCAATTTGGCCCTACTGCCACTTCATCTGGATTGTCTGTAGCTTGAGTTGTAAAAAAAAAAAAAAAAAGATTAGGGGGAAGAAGTTGGGTTAAAACTCTTCACTTACCCACCATTGGAACATAATGGGTAAAGTTACTATTTAAAAGTATTTTTCAAATTTCATTTTGCATATAAGCAGGTGCTATATAAACTGATAGCTTTTTTCTTGTAAGAATGGATTTATTTGGAATTTAGCCCAGCTGAAAATTGACTTCACCTTGAGTCCCAGATTGTACTTGGACTTTAAAGAAAGTGGAATAGTGACAATGGGTCGTTGGCAGTTTTTTGGTTTAACATTTACCTAATTCTGTTGGGATTATTTTTCTCTCCCTTGACTGAAAAAAAATTACACATTTATTGAGAATTCTTCCCATCCCCAACACAGTGATCTAATTTGTTTTTGCTTTAAAATAATTTAAACAGTGTAATTTTTAAAATCCTGATCAAATGAGTCAGATTGTAGTAATAATTTTAGACAGAATTTTATGGGATGTTTTATCTGTTGTCTGGGATGATCTGTAATCGTATATCTTACTAGTTGAAAATGACTTCAATGAGATTAAAGGTCTGTTCTTTAAGATCTGGAAGTCTCACTTCTACCACTGTCTTAATTTAGTTAAGAAAAATAAAACTTTTGAACAGTTCTTTTTTATTAATCTGTTGAGGTTTGCTTGAATTGTGTTCTTGTAAATGAAGTTTGTTTTTCTTTGTCTGGCATAGACTCCTTCAGTGTTTGTTACATTATTGGTTTCTGCTTTAGTCATTTTTCCAGAGTCCCAAAAAGTTTATCACTTCGGTTCTCTTTCTGTTTTCATGTCATGACCACACGAAACTTCAGATGGAAAGTTTTCCAGCTCATTAGGAAATGTTCCTAAATATGAATAGTCATGGAAGTTCATGGAAGTCAGTATGTAGATAGATAGCATTGTCAGGGACTGATACTCAATTGTATTGTCCTCAAATAATAAACTCAACATTAACTTCAAACTTAAAAGTATTGCTGCTTGAAGCATTCTGCTTTAAACCACAAATTCATGTGCCCACTGCATTCACAGTTGTATAATTGACAGTTTTATAACTTGGGCTGTAGTATGTCCTTTAAGAAATGCAAGTTCTTTCAGTTTTATAAATATTTTATTCTTACGGTATCTGTTTCTTTTCTTCCTAAGTCTCTCTTGGAAAAGTTCTTGATCCCCAATGCTTCACAAGCAGAGAGCAAAGTCTTCTATTTGAAAATGAAAGGAGATTACTACCGTTATTTGGCTGAGGTTGCTGCTGGTGATGACAAGAAAGGTATGCTGTTTTTAAACCTGCTGATTGAACTTGTATAAAAGTGAGGAAGAGTCTCTGAAGGGGAAATAATTTCTTGTTGTTTTTAATTGCTTAGAGTGTTGAATAGAGTAGCAGTGCTCTTCTTTTGTATTCTGAGAATATATGTCTACTGCCTAATACTGGTATTCTAAAATATTAGCTTTCTGAAAAGCCAATTTTGTGTACAGGGATGTTTTCTCAAGATTTTAAGAAATAGTGACCAACCTGAGCAACATCTCTCTCTACAAAAAAAGTTTTGAAAATTAGCTGGGCGTAGTGGTGCAAGCCTTTGGTCCCAGCTAATCTGGAGGCCGAGGTGGGAAGATTGTTTGGGTCTGGGAGGTCAAGGCTGCAGTGAGCCCTGATTGTGCCACTGCACTCCAGCCTGAGTGACAGAGACCCTATCTCAAGAAAGAAGAAATAGAGGTCACACTGTAACTGAGGAGCAGTGTAAACTAGTTAATTTTTAAAAATACAACAATGAGATTATAAAGTTGTATCTTGACATTGACCAATGGCTAATCTGTACCAGGAGAAACCTCCCTTTAAAAGAAAAATTAAGGGCCTTGTTAAATTAACAAATATTAAGCTGTTACAGGTTACTATTTCAGAGGATACATGAGATATTAAAGATTTGGTTTGAAGGGTGAAGATATAATACATACTTCGTCTCAATATGTTTTGGTGTGTCTTATCCAGGGATTGTGGATCAGTCACAACAAGCATACCAAGAAGCTTTTGAAATCAGCAAAAAGGAAATGCAACCAACACATCCTATCAGACTGGGTCTGGCCCTTAACTTCTCTGTGTTCTATTATGAGATTCTGAACTCCCCAGAGAAAGCCTGCTCTCTGGCAAAGACAGTATGTATTTTACCTATTATGTAGAAATTTAGCAGTCTTTATTATTTGAGCACTGAAATATAATGTACTATTTTTAAATCATAGGCTTTTGATGAAGCCATTGCTGAACTTGATACATTAAGTGAAGAGTCATACAAAGACAGCACGCTAATAATGCAATTACTGAGAGACAACTTAACAGTAAGTACATAACAGCATCGTTAGTGATGAATGTGGTTGAAGAGGTTATGTTTTACTCTGAGGAATATATATATTTTTAAAATTAAATACATCTTTTTAAAATTTTTTTCTCAACATAATTCATAGGCTCACATAAATATATCTTAGCTACCGTTAAAACCGTATGAAGGAAACCTACAGAATCTGAAATATTAGACCAAGAACTGAAAAATACACACATTGATGAGTTTACCTGTCTTCTTAAAATTTGAATTTTAGTATCAAAGCATGTTTTAATTCCTTTAAAAATTATTTTCTTGCCCATCAAGTTGCCTCCATGCCTGTAAAGATAAACTTGAGTCGTAAAATTTTGGGTTATCTACAGAATCCAAGTGGAAGTCTGTTTTGCCTACTTTCTGATTTAAAATGACTTAATATGAAGGGTCATGATTGTCCTTGGGATACTGCAGATGTATATAAAAAGAAACACAGTATCACTGTCACACCCAAAAACATCAACAAGAATTCCCTAATAATGTTTAAATATGTAAAGAATACCTGAATTCTAACTCTCTCTCTTTTTTTAATTTGAATTGGAATTCAAATTCAGTCCACAATGCAATTGATTTATGTCTCGTTAGTTCCGTAGGTCTTCTCATTCTTCTCCTTCAGATAAATATTAGATTTGAAATTTTGAGGCCTAGATGAAAAAATTATCAAGCATTTGCTGTGTGTTAGGTAAAGAGGTAGGAATTGCAGGTCATAATCTAGTGTTACTGTTTTTTGTTAGACTTTTAGGGCCATTTCTCTTGGGGACTGTGTAGCCTCAGTTTATACATTTCTCTTCCAACTTTAGTCCGCTGCCGTTTTCCATAAACCAGTTTTATATTCTAGTGCTGAGAAGCTTCGAGAGGTTTTTGAATAATATCATATGCTTGTTTAAACCCAAAATTATTTATTAGCACAATTTGGGGCATCTATAAACTTTTCTGATACTTGAGTCAAAATAATAAGCTCTAATAAATAATGAAGGCATCTTTATATCAAACGTAAGAAGCACTTTAATTGTTAACTAAGTCTAGTAGTAAGGATTTTTTTTTTAGTTTGAAGTGATGCCATTTTTAAAGTGATGGCCTGAGACCTTGTTACTGTGTTTTGTTTGCATCACTTTGTGAGAGGCCGTGATCTACTATGTGCTTCCAACTCAATTTTGCTATCAGTATAGCATATCTTACAATAAAACCAGGGTTTCCACTCTAACTCTGTCATTACTTCTGTGTCTTCTCCAAGCCTTGTTAGTGTCGGCTGTCACCGTTACAGGTTGATTGGATCATTTATCTGTCAAGAAATTGTCCCAAAACTTAATATTCCAGTCTGAATTTGGTTGACCAACACATTACTCTAGAAATAGAGAAATATTTTGTATCAAATTTTTGCATGTTTATACGGAAAATTCAAGAATCGTTGAAAGTTAGAACAGGACGGAGACATTAGAAACAGTTTCATCTTGCATTTACAAAATCCCTTGTTTAACAGGAACACACAGTTTCCAAGAGGTCATTTGGTTAGCTGTATGACTATGGAACTAGTCTCCAGGCCAGAGATACATTTGCTTAGCAGATCAATGAAGCTAATGGATAATTTGGGGAATAGAAAAATAATAATTAGGTAGATTAATTAGTTTTTAGTGTGAGTCATAATAAATATAAGGTTGTCTTGAATTCTTTTATAATTGCCTCTGAAAAATCACTACAGAGTGGTTAAGACTTTATTTTTTTGAGACAGAAGTTTGCTCTTGTTGCCCAGGCTGGAGTGCAATGGCGCGATCTTGGCTCACCATGACCTCCACCTCCCGGGCTCAAGCGATTCTCCTGCTTCAGCCTCCGGAGTAGCTGAGATTACAGGCATGCATTAACATGCCCAGCTAATTTTGTGTTTTTTAGTAGACACGGGGTTTCTCCATGCTGGTCAGGCTGGTCTCGAACTCCCGACCTCTCAGGTGATCCTCCTGCCTCAGCCTCCCAAAGTGCTGGGATTATAGGTGTGAGTCACCGCATCTGGCCAAGACTTAAAAAGTTTTAACATTGGAGCAGTTGGAATAAATAGAGTCTATAACCCTACCACCTATGGGACAACTTTCATTTTTACCTCTTAAAAGATTTGGTTCTGGTTTTTGTCTATATATTAAGTTAGTGCAAAAGTAATTGCAGGTTTTTCTATTTAAAGTAATGGCAAGAGCCGCAACTATTTTTGTACCAACCTAATAAATATACAAAGGTGTTTTTCTAAGCTGAGAAAAGCTAGATTGATAGTTTAGATCAGATCTGTGGCTTGTCCTTGAATTTCATGGAGTATAGGATTCTGTTTGAAGTGAGAGTCAGTCTAAGATCTACCAGGGAAGAGTAGTTAACCCTAGTTCCTTCAGCATAGGCCAAATTAGATGCTTCTGGTATAGCTGCACTCACCTTGGACATCCATCTCTTGTATTGGGGCTCTTTAGGTTCTGATACCTATTGATGCTTAGTTTTTAAAATATATTTTATGATTTCTTCTACTTTCTTCTCACCTAAGGATAACCAAAAGTTTCCTGTATCTGATCATTACTTGAAGGCAACTCTGTGGTGTACTTATCCTGCTTATACAGTGGTTACAGAGAAAGTAAATTTGTGTATTGAGATGTTTTTGTATCTTGAAGCTAAGTAAGTGATGCTGCTGTCTTTTAAAGAATGCTTTCCAACTAAAACGTTGTAGTATCTTGGCACATGTATGAAACCTGTCCCCCACCCCACCCCACCCCACTGAAACATGCTGAAAAATCTTTCCTTCTTTTCCAGTTGTGGACATCGGATACCCAAGGAGATGAAGCTGAAGCAGGAGAAGGAGGGGAAAATTAACCAGCCTTCCAACTTTTGTCTGCCTCATTCTAAAATTTACACAGTAGACCATTTGTCATCCATGCTGTCCCACAAATAGTTTTTTGTTTACGATTTATGACAGGTTTATGTTACTTCTATTTGAATTTCTATATTTCCCATGTGGTTTTTATGTTTAATATTAGGGGAGTAGAGCCAGTTAACATTTAGGGAATTAGTCTATTCTCATCTTGAGGTGGCCAATATGGGGATGTGGAATTTTTATACAAGTTATAAATGTTTGGCATAGTACTTTTGGTACATTGTGGCTTCACGAGGGCCAGTGTTAAAACTGCTTCCATGTCTAAGCAAAGAAAACTGCCTACATATTGGTTTGTCCTGGTGGGGGATAAAAGGGATCATTGGTTCCAGTCGCAGGTGTAGTAATTGTGGGTACTTTAAGGTTTGGAGCACTTAACAAGGCTGTGGTAGAAACAAATATCCCATGGAAACCACGTGTTAAACCATGTCTATCTGTGGAATACTCAATCTCAATATTCACACCTTTGACTACAGCTGCAGAAGTGTTCCTTTAGACAAAGTTGTGACCCATTTTACTCTGGATAAGGGCGGAAACGGTTCACATTCCATTATTTGTAAAGTTACCTGCTGTTAGCTTTCATTATTTTTGCTACACTCATTTTATTTGTATTTAAATGTTTTAGGCAACCTAAGAACAAATGTAAAAGTAAAGATGCAGTAAAAATGAATTGCTTGGTATTCATGACTTTGTGTATATCAAGCACAGCAGTAAAACAAAAACCCATGTATTTAACTTTTTTTTTAGGTTTTTTGCTTTTGTGATTTTTTTTTTTTGATACTTGCCTAACATGCATGTGCTGTAAAAATAGTTAACAGGGAAATAACTTGAGATGATGGCTAGCTTTGTTTAATGTCTTATGAAATTTTCATGAACAATCCAAGCATAATTGTTAAGAACATGTGTATTAAATTCATGTAAGTGGAATAAAAGTTTTATGAATGGACTTTTCAACTACTTTCTCTACAGATTTTCATGTAAATTAGTCTTTTGGTTCTGAAACTTCTCTAAAGGAAATTGTACATTTTTTGAAATTTATTCCTTATTCCCTCTTGGCAGCTAATGGGCTTTTACCAAGTTTAAACACAAAGTTTATCATAACTACAAAAATGCTACTACTATAACTACTGTTTCCAACTGTGTCCCGTGATCCCCTCTCTTCCTCCTCACCCTGAAAAAAATGAGTTCCTATTTTTTTCTGGGAGGGGGGAGATTGACTGGAAAAAAAAGTAATATGTTCCATTTAAGATTTTGGTATATGGCATTTTCTAACTTAGGAAGCCACAATGTTCTTGGCCCATCATGACATCGGGTAGCATTCGCTATAAGTTTTGTGCTTCCAAATCACTTTTTGGTTTTTAAGAATTTCTTGATACTCTTATAGCCTGCCTTCGACTTGGATCCTTTATACTTTCTATTTGTCACAAGATTACCTTCCTTTTTTAGCCTTCTGTCTTGACACCAACCATTCCTACTTGGTGGCCGTGTACTTGGAAAAAGGCCGCATGATCTTTCTGGCTCCACTCAATGTCTGAGATACCCTGCTTCCTTTGCTTGCATCCCACAAACTATTCCCTCATCCTACTTACTGCAGCAAATCTCTCCTTAGTTGACGAGATTGTGTTTATCTCCCTTTAAAACCCTACCTATCCTGAATGTCATTGTCTGCCTTTAAAATCCTTCCTTTTTCTCTTCCTCTATTCTCTAAATGATGGGGCTAAGTTATACCCAAAGCTCACTTTACAAAATATTTCCTCAGTACTTTGCAGAAAACACCAAACAAAAATGCCATTTTAAAAGAGGTGTATTTTTTCTTTTAGAATGTAAGCTCCTCAAGAGCAGGGACAATGTTTTCTGTATGTTCTATTGTGCCTAGTACACTGTAAATGCTCAATAAATATTGATGATGGGAGGCAGTGAGTCTTGATGATAAGGGTGAGAAACTGAAATTCCAAACACTGTTTTGTTGCTTGTTTTATTATGACCTCAGATTAAATTGGGAAATATTGGCCCTTTTGGATAATTGTCCCAAATATTACATTCAAATAAAAGTGCAATGGAGACCTTGGGGTCTTTATTTCCAGGAGAAAAGATAACCTTCTACATCTAGGGCAACAATCCTCTTCCCCTCTTCGCTCACAGCTCTTTTACTTCACTTAACTGAGTTCTCCTGACCCCCAAGCCAAGGAGGTAAAAGTCTCTCATACATACTTATTTTATAGCTGAGGGAAATTAGACTGAAGAGATGTGATCTCATTCAAGTAAATAAAACCTGAAACTGCACATTTGCCAATTTAATGTACATCAGTCATCTAAAAGGTTGATTCTGGAATAATGAGAACACTTCACTAGCATTAACTAATATTTTCTACATAGTATTCCTAGTAGTGAAGGAAAATTTCCAACCTGAGATTTTTTAGCCTTGGAATTTGAATAATGTTTTTCCAATTAATAGCTGTTACTTCATGATCTAAAATTCAGAATAGGGGGAGAGGGGAGTAAGAATTTATGTCCAGTGGCTTAATTTTAGGGGCTCAATGTGTTTGTTTTTCCTGCAAAATAGTCACCAGTCTTGTCATGGCTCAATGGATATTTTAAAGTGAGTCAAGGCCAATTTGGAAGCTGCTATCTTAGATTATTTGTAGTCAGACTTCAAACGGAGAGTGAAACTTTGAAAACTATCTGGTCCTGTATGCTTAGTGATGGTCTTACATATTCCTAGGGAAAGATCAAGAAATAAATTTGGCAAAATTGTATTTTGTTGTTTACATGATAGGAAATAATATGAAATGTGCAGTATTAAAGTGGTGGCTGAGACTGGGCACTTGGAAAATAGACTTGCATTCTTTTTAAAATGTGAAACTACATTAATTGTATGTGACTTGTAGCAGCCACAATCTCCTTGATTCTTTTTTTTTGAGAGAGAGTTGCTGTCGCCCAGGCTGGAGTGCAGTCTCTGCTCACTACAACTTCTGCCTCCCAGAGTCATGCGAATCTCCTGCCTCAGCCTCCTGAGTAGCTGACACTACAGGTGCACGCCACCACGCCCAGCTAATTTTTGTATTTTTAGTAGAGATGGGGTTTCACTATGTTGGCCAGGCTGGTTTTGAACTCCTGACCTCATGGTCCGACCACCTCAGCCTCCCAAAGTGCTGGGATTAGCCACCGCGTCTGGCTGTGGAACTTGTTTTAAATGCCTACTCTCAGCACGCAGTTTAAAGAATTGGAATTTTTTTTTTTTAGGTTGGAGTCCGGGAATATTCATTTTCTTAGCCAAAACTCCCACGGTTATTAGTGATGCACAGTTTTCCATACAGATAATGCCTGTAGGGGAAGAACACAGATGGGGAAAATGCAAGATTACATTTTAAGCCCCCCAAAAAGGTTTTTTGGTTTTTTTGCTAAGGGGTCTCACTGTTACCCAGGCTAATCTTGAACTTGGCCTCATGCAGTCCTGCCTCAGCCTCCCAAGTAGCTGGGATTACGGGGGTGAGTCACCACACTTGGCCTCCCCCCTCCCCAAAAAACCTGTAAAACAAAGTTTTGAATCTGCTTAGCAGATCATGTCTACCCTCTCAAGAAATTATAGAGGTTATTTATCAAAAGAAAATTTTCACATTGATTACTGGTTTGGTTTGGGAACAGAACTTTTACTCTGTTGAGGGAAAGGTTGCACACACACATATATACCATTTTTTTAGCGAATGCCATTTGTATTTTTCTTAGGCCATATATTGAAGTCAACTTGAGGTGAATGAGCAAACTATAGAGTGAATAACTTGGTGACCATTAAGTGTAAGGAAAGCTCTCTTAAAATGGACACAGAAAGCACTAACTAGAAAAGAAATACATAAACTGAGTGAAAACTATAAGTTTGACTAAAAATTGACACGAATTGAAAAGACAGCTAAGACAAACATGACTAACAAAAGATAGTACCATGAGCAGAGGGTGAGCAAGTGAGGCTTCCTGTGTATTTACAGTCAGTCCCCTTCAGTCACATTACTGCCTGAGCTCCACCTGTCAGATGAGCAGCGACATTAGATTCTCATAGGAGTGTGAGCCCTGTTGTGAACTGTGCATGCGAGGGATCTAGGTTGCACACTCCTTATAAGAATCTAATTCCTGATCTGTCTCTCACTCCCATTACCCCCAGATAGGACTGTGTAGTTGCAGGAAAACAAGCTCAGGGCTCCCACCTAATTGGATAATTATTAAGTTGTCTATTTCATATTTCAATGTAATAATAGAAAAGTGTACAATAAATGTAATGTGCTTGAATCATCCTAAAATGAAACCCCACCCCTGTCCGTGGAAAAATGGTCTTCCACCAAACTGGTCTCTGGTGACCATTGCTTTAGAGAAATGAGTTGCATTCAGTCCATACTGATTCCATCCGTATCAGTGAGGCTCTACTATTACATTCAACATATGGCCAAATCTTAAGATTTTCAGTACTTTTGCTCATGTTCCTTTGGGATTCATCAAAGGTTCTGTATTTAACTGAATTGGTTTTTTGTAGGAAAAGTCTACTGACAACAGAAATGGAAGTACAGAATATATTTGTGATCTTTATGTAAACAGTATATATCAAATATATAGTTGTTGGTTTTTCCCCCCCCCTTTCTCAGGATTTGCAAGAGGAGTCCAGAAAGTCATTGTTGGAGACCTTGGTCCCTTGTTACAGCATCTTTATATAAAGGGTTAAAGTTGAAGACCTTAGATAATTGGAAATGAGATTTTCTTTGGCGAAAGCTTTCAAGTGCCAGGCAGTTCTCCCCATCATCTGTCCCCCCTAGTAGAGGAGGGGAGAGGGGGTGCTCCACTGGGAGCACTTCATAAACTTCTGGACTGTAACCCGTGTGGCCCAGCGGGTGATGCCAGGCTCTGGGGAAGTGTCATGTCAGGAGATACTAGCTAGCCAGCTGTGCTGATGGCACAGTAGGGAAAAGTGACTGCCATTAGAAATAGCCTATTCCCTCAACGTTTGTGGAGGCCAAGAATGTGGACATGTTCCCAGCAGGCCAGGATCAAGACAGCCTATAGCTATCTTCAGAAGAGCTGGGCTTTTGAAGCAGTCTATGTGGATGGACTGGCAGAAACCAGTCAACCAGCAGTTGGTGGAGATGGCTCTCAGGAGAGCATCAGCAACAGGTCTCCAAAGAATCTGTAAGGGACTAATTTGAAAGGTGCTTAAATGCCTGTCAGGGTCAAAGGAGACCAATGCCCACTTTTCTTCAGTTCCAAACAAAGGAGACCTTTTCTGCCCCCACCTCACTGCAACCCCATTGGAGCCAGCGCAGCCAGCAGGTGAGGGAGGAGTGGACTACTTGAAGAAGTAGAGATGAATCTGACCACAAATCCTTTATCCCCTGGACCACAAAAGGGAGGAGAGGAATTTTAATGGGTACAGTTAGGGGTTTGGATTACTGCTTTGTGACTAATACATAGGACTAGACACTTTTATCCCCAAATAGAAGACAGTACCCTCACAGTGAAAGAAATGACAAGGTGGGTCTGCAAACAAGGAGCTGAAGCATTGGCATACCAAGATGAGCTACAGAGCCATCTGGAACAACGAACGTGCTGATGAACATTAAGAAGATAAGAAAGAATGGAAACCAAATGTTTAAAAACAGGACACTGAAAACGAATGTCTCTAGGTAATTAAACAGTCTGGCAGGTAATTTAATTTAAAACTAAAACCCAGCGCAAACTAAGAAAACATATTCCCACCCCCTGCTTGATTTGTTTTCTTTCAAGGGCCTTTAAAGCAAAACACTAACCATGAAGAATTTAAACTTTTCCCAGGAAATAAAATATTTTCTGCCTAACATAAAACAGCAGCTTTATTTCTTCCTGAGAATAAAGTCTTCCCTCAGCCTCCCCAAGTAGCTGGGATTAAAGGCCTTTTTTTTGGTTGCATATTCTTAAGTATAGGATTAATGAACATTAAATATTCTGCCATATTTTTAAAAATTTTAAATGTACAGAAAAGCAGAAAAGTGACAGAGTTCAATGAAGTTTTATGTACTCTTTTACCCAGACTTCTTAAATGTCAACATTTTTCCATTCTTTTTCTCTGTAAAAAAAAATTTTCTAAATTAATTGAAAGTTGCAGATATGATGCTACTTTACTTCCATACACTTAGTTGTTTATTTCTTAAGGACATACAAAATAATTAGTCTCATATAAAATTATATAATTATCAAAATCAGAAAATTTACACTGCTATGATACTATACAAAACTTATTCAAATCCATCAGTTGTATCATTAATGTCCTTTGTAGCAAGAGAAAAAAATTCTTTTGTCTCGGTCCTGGATCCAATCCAGAATCTCCAGTTACATCATTTAGTTGTTAGGTCTCTAGTCTTTAGTCTTCTTTAATCTGAAACCATTTCTTGGTTTTGTCTTCATGGCCTTGACAATTCTGGAGAGTATAAGCCAGTAAGTTTTTATGGTGTCCCTCTTTTTTATTTCTTCTAATGTTTTCTTGTTAGTTTCAGGAATCTCTGAAGATCGCTTAAGTCTTTAGGCATCCTAACCAGAGGCACACAATAACTCTTTATCCCTTTACTGATGCTATTAAAGAAAAATAACTTCAGATTAAGAAGGTAGAAGGTAGAGAAAAAGAAAATACCATCTTTTCTTTTTTTTTTTTGAGACGGAGTTTCGCTCTTGTTACCCAGGCTGGAGTGCAATGGCGCGATCTCGGCTCACCGCAACCTCCGCCTCGTGGGTTCAGGCAATTCACCTGCCTCAGCCTCCTGAGTAGCTGGGATTACAGGCACGCACCACCATGCCCAGCTAATTTTTGTATTTTTAGTAGAGACGGGGTTTCATCATGTTGACCAGGATGGTCTCGATCTCTTGACCTCGTGATCCACCCGCCTCGGCCTCCCAAAGTGCTGGGAGAGGACCCATCATTTAATCAACATTTTGATTGTTGATCATTGCTAGCAGAGATCACTTCTACCAGCAACAATTTACCTGACTGACCTCCAGCAGGAACTCTTAATGACAAAAAACTGTCCTCAGCTAGAATCTGTATATACAAGAGGATATCAGCAAGAAGTATACCCCCTCTACCCAGGGCAAGCATTCTGGAGAGACACTCCAGCCAAGTGCTATACCCAATAGAGACAACTGAAGCTTCAGAAGGGCAGGAACTATGTCCTCTTTATCACTCTGTTCTTAGCACTCAGTATAGAACCTGGCACAGGACAGATACTTAGCAAACATTTGTGAATAAACCTTGAATCCTCTTCTGGTACCTGGGCTTCCTAATAAGAAGTCTACCCTTTTTCCTTTGTAAAAACCAAACATAATGACAGAATAGGTACTCAAAAAACCGTTGGGTTGGGCCGGGCGCGGTGGCTCACGCCTTTAATCCCAGCACTTTGGGAGGCTGAGGTGGGCAGATCACGAGGTCAAGAGATCGAGACTATCCTGGCCAACATGGTGAAAACCCATCTCTACTAAAAATACAAAAATTAGCTGGGCGTGGTGGCATGCCTGTACTCCCAGCTACTCAGGAAGCTGAGGCAGGAGAATCACTTGAACCCAGGAAGTGAGGTTGCAGTGAGCTGAGATCGTGCACTGCACTGCAGTCTGGGCAACTGAGCAAGACTCGGTTTAAAGAAAAACTGTTGGGCGGCGGTGGCGCTAAGGATCCGGACAGCCGTTACATCCTTGCTGAGCCCCTCTCCAGCTACAGCTCTTGCTGTCAGGTATGCTTCCAAGAAGACGGGTGGTAGCTCCAAAAACCTCGGTGGAAAGTCATCAGGCAGACGCCTAGGCATTAAGAAAATGGAAGGACACTATGTTCATGCTGGGAACATCCTTGGAACACAGCGCCATTTCCGCCGGCACCCAGGTGCCCATGTGGGTCTTGGGAAGAATAAATGTCTATATGCCCTGGAAGAGGGGATAGTCCACTACACTAAGGATGTCTACGTGCCTCATCCCAGAAATATGGAGGCTGTGGATCTCATCACCAGGCTGCCCAAGGGTGCTGTGCTCTACAAGACTTTTGTCCACGTGGTTCCTACCAAACCCGAGGGCGCCTTCAAACTGGTAGCTATGCTCTGAAGTCCTGTGAGGTCATTGGACAGAGACTGGAACCCAGGTGACAGGAGATGGTGATACCAGAAGTCAAAGATTGGGGCAATGACACAGCCTCCTGAGGAAGGTGTCTGCTTGATGGTGACTCTGCGGGAGACTCTGAAGTGACGCTGGGAAACCCTTTGGGAGACTTGACTGGGGGCCAAAAATAAAGTGAACCAGAGTCAAAAAAAAAAAAAAAGAAGAAAAACTGTTGGGTTGGAGAGTGAATCTGACTTGAGTAACTTGCTTCTAAGACCTTATTTCCAAAATAAAGTTTGTTTTGTTTTGTATTTAACAGCTGATTTGTTCTTTAAAGAAGCAATGTCTGACACAGGTTATCAATAATAGTACCAACTGAGCTGGGCACAGTGGCTCATGCCTTTAATCCCAGCACTTTGGGAGCCTTGAGGCAGAAGGACTGCTTGAGGCCAGGAGTTTGAGACCAGCTTGGGCAACAAAGAGAGACCCTGTCTCTACAAAAAAATTAAAAATTAGCCAGGCATGATGGCACGCATTTGTAGTCCCAGCTACTCAGTGAGCTGAGGTAGGAGGACAGCTGGAGCCCAGGAGGTTGAGGCTGCGGTGAGCTGTGACTGCTCCACTGCACACCAGCCTAGGCAACAGAGCAAGACCTTGTCTCAAAAAATAAAAGTTACTGGTTAATTTGAAAGCGACTTTAGAGAGAAATGTACCTGGCTTCTAGAGTCCTAGTCCACAGCCAGCTCTCTCGTGGATATCACTCCTACGGACTGCTGGGCTGGCTCTTGCTCATAGGTATCACATGAATCTGGGCTTTTCTGACCTCCACGGGGGCTTGTTTTACTCTTTCCAGCCCACGATCCGAGGATATCTATCTTTACATGCTTATTCATGGTCCCAGGATTTTGTGGTAACTTCAGTCTTTGAGAATGAAGAGAGCTCATCTTTTGGATGTTTTGGTATGATCTGGTCAGCCTGGGACCACAACTAAATTGACCTGGTAACACAGAGTGACACAGACTATGCTTCTAGGGCTTTGGTGGTGTGTGTGTGTCTACACGTGTGTGTGAGAGAGAGGTGGAGATAGAGATGGAGACAAGAGTTTAGACCCCGTGCAAGCCTGCCAGTTCTGATTTGGAAAGAGCAGCTCCTGAAAAAACACCATTCAACTGTTCCCAGACTGAGAATGAGGCTCAAGAAATAAAGGTGCTAGAACAGTAATTCTTAAACTAGAATCATCTAGAGAGTTTTTAGAACTCCTAATTCCCCGGTAGTACTCAGACCTCTTATGTGTCAATATCTGAGATGGGACCCAGGTAGCATTCCTGTAAGCTCCAATGCAGTCAAGTTTGAGAAACAGCACAAAACAGGTCACAGATGAGGGGCTATAGGACTGCACTGTCCAATACAGCAGCTGCCAGCCGCCACATGGGGCTCTGGGGCTCTTGAAATGTGGCCAGTCTGAATTAAGCTATGCCATAAATAAAAGGCATACAACACACACTGAACTACGAAGACCTAGTTTAAAAAAAAAATGAATGTAAAAATACCACTGATGATTTTTAGTGTCATGTTGAAACAATGCTTTCAATATATTGGGTTAAATACAATATATTAAAATAATTTTACCTTTTTGCCATTTTAAAATGTAACTATTAGAAAATGTTAAATTACATATGTGGACATTATATTTCTGTTCTTCAGTGCTGCTTCAGAAAACAAATTATTACCAGCAAATATATTACTCATATTTAAAGAGATCCTCTGCATCTGTTAGGAATAGAGTGAGCTTCATGTAAAACCCAGCTGCAGTGGCTTAACCAAATAGGAATGAATTTTTCTCCAAAGACAAGAGTCAAGGTTTTAAAATTGCATATATGGTGGCTCCTCAGGTCTGCAGGCACCTGGTCTTCTCCTGTCTGACCATCCCCCAGTTGCATCATTGCAGCAGAATGGTGTTTCTATCTCTAGGTATCTGGAAATTTCTGGACCCACTACCAAGGATTCTCACAGGATAGGTCTGGATGGAACCCAGGAAACTGCATTTCAAATGGGTAATCTAGGTGCTTCTGATGTGTGTGTTGTTTGAGAAAAGTGCCCTAAGTGTAGGCTCTGTTAACACAAGGCAGCAAAACACAGTGGTTAAGAGCCTTGACTACAAAGCAACCCATCTGACTCTGCCACTGGCTGTGTGATCTTGAACAAGTTTCTTAACCACTCTGTGCTCTGCTTCCTCATTTTTAAAGTGGGGGTGATAATAGCACTGACTTTATAGGGTTATTCCAAGTGTTGAATGAATTAACACCGTGTAAAGTCCTTGGTCCACAGGAAATATAATAGAAATATTTGTTAATGAGAAAATAAAATATGAAGTGACTTCAGAGTATAAAGCCCACATAGAAAACATAAAGCAAAACCCAGACCAAGGTCTGTCTGATTCAACAATGAAAAGTACGAGCCACTTTTAGAGTCACCAGTTGGATCGCTTACATAGCACAAGGAGGAGTAAGCTGAGAGCCAGCTCCACAGGATCCTGGTCCCACACGCGAAAAGGGCACAAACGTCATAAGGGCAGATGACTGCCATGAAAGGGTGCCCTGTTACTGAGGAGCCGCTTACAGAGTGCAGCAAGGTGGGTTCTTGTTCTGAGAGGTACAGGGCAGAGAATCCCAAGCTTCATCAGAGCCTGGAGGCCACGAGAAACCGATGGCCTCCAGGCTCTGGAGTGGCGGTCCATCTGGAGTGGCCACTGTGAAAACACCAGCTACAGCCAGGGAGATGCGGCTGGAGCCGGGAACAGGCCGGAGCCCGCCAGCTTCTGAGTTCACAGGGCGGGAGTCCCACCCTCGTGCCCAGCTACAGCTGCCCAGCCGCGGATCCCAATTCAGGCATCCCTGTGCTCTTGAGGTCCCTTCCTCCATAGGCTCGGAAGTGCCTGCTCCAGATGCCTGGCTTCTCCTCACTCCTGGTGCCTGCTTCTGGATGGACGGAGCAACATTTTGGCCAAGCCCGGGCGCTGTTGCAACCTGGCCGGATGTATGTACACTCAGGGCAGTGCCGACATGCCAGCCCCCGCCACCTCTGCCCCCTCCAGACTCTGGATGGCAATGAGCACAGAGAGGAAGGCTGAAAGGGGCCTGCAGGCCTCCGGTAGCATGAACAGCCAGGGTGCTGCGGTGGATAACATGTTGATGGCAGTAGGAGGCAGACAGGCTCCTGGGTGGAAAAGGGCGGGTCGGTGAAGCCCACTTTTAAGCCAGGGACTGCCTGAGGCCTGGGGCCTGTCAGTTCACAGTGGAGTCCACAACTGGAGTGAGAACTTAACGGTGTTTATTCCAGGCCTGCTAATGGCCGCCCATGGACCAGTCAACAAGTACTTCCTCCCTTATGAAACCCATAAAAATCCCAGACTCAGCTAGACTCACAGAGACATGTCAGGATGATCTGCCTGCGGATAGGAGCTTCTCACTCCGGGTCTCCTCTCCCCTGAGAGCTGGACACTCCTCGGGACCACCTGCCTGCAGAAAGGAGCTACCCACTTCAGGTCTCCTGAGAGCTGTTCTGTTGCTCAATGAAGCTCCTCTCTGCCTTGCTCACCCTCCAGTTGTCTATGTACCTCATTCTTCCTGGACTTGGGACAAGAACTCAGACCTGCTGAATGGTGGGACTGAAAGAGCTGTAACACAAACAGGGATGAAACATGCCCTCCCACTCACCATATTGCAGGCATCTAGGAGGAGAGAAGAGCTGCAACCCTTTAGGGAACACAGACCTAGGTGCTCCCCGAGTGAGGGCTGTGACACCCTTTGGGGACTCTGCAGTTCCTATTGTCTCCAAGCTTCTGGGTGCCACTGCATTGTCTGGTGCCTGCAGTAGAAGCACTTACAGTAACAGCCACAGCCTTACATGGAACTGGTGCCTGAGCCGGCACCTGGAGCTGCCCTCCCTGGCGCAGCCCATACACGTGGCAGCCCATACACCTGGGTTTGCAGTGGCCAGACCCTGTGCTTGCTTACACATCTCTTGCTGCTCAGCACCTGGCTCACCCTTGGCAGGTAGGGGATCTGGGCTGAGTGGGCAGAACAAGCCCAGGGGGCCTGAACAAAACTTGGGCCAAGATGCCACTGGCCACAGAGGTTTCCAGCTGGCAAAGTGACACCCCAAGGATCCTGTGACAAAAATGTCTCCTGACAGCCTTCCAGGGGACTTAGGGAGGTGAGTGGGGGATGGCCTTATAGCAGCTTCATAGAGGTCTCCCTGCCTCTGCATTCTGGGAAGATCCTGAGGTCTTCTGCCAAAACACAGAGAAGCTGTGTCACAAGCCTTGGCCCATATGGGTAACATGCAGCGGTGCTAGGACACCATGGAGGAGCCATTCCCTACACAGAGCCGTGTAGTCTTGGGCAAGAAGGGATTTGGTTAAATAAGTAATAAATTATACCCTAAAAACATAATGGCCATTTGGATAGAATCATGATGTACCTTGTAGAGAGGATTTGTTCTTGTTTTTCCTGGAAGTTTGCATTGCATTAGTCACCAGAAGAGTGACATCTGGTTCTAAGCAAACTGGGAGGTCATGCTGGATACAAAATGAGACAGGAGTCTTGTCGGGCCTAGCGTGCAGGTCTGAGAGTAGAGAGACCTTGGCACGCGTCACAGAGCCTGAAAACCCACTGTGGTGGCGAGGAGAAAGCACTTGGGTACTGCTGTGGGTGTCACTCAATACAACCAGCTCAGAGGACAATTTGACAATATCCCTCCAATTTCAAAGGCACACACCCCTGCAACCTAGCAATCTGCCTCTAGGAAGGTATCCTGTAGAAATAATCACATACCAGTTATTCAGTGCAGCTTTGTTTAAACAGCACATGACTGGAAACCACCTATACCTGCATAACCGTACTGAATACCACACAGCCATAAAAAGAAAGAGGAAGCTTTTTATGTTCTTGCATGAAAAACCCTACAAAATATATTGTTAAGTAAAAGAAGCCAGGTGACGGACAGTGAGTATATCAATTGTTTAAAAAATGAAAAAACTCCAAAAAGCAAAATAAAATAGATTTGCTTGCATATAAATAAAATATCTTTGAAAAAATATATGAGAAACTGATATATTTTGTTGCCTCTCAGAAGAACTGGGTACTTGGGGGATAAAGGTGGGAGAAACAGTCTTTTGAAAATTTTGTATTTTTGACCCATGTCTATAAACTATAAATACAAGTGGCTAAAACAGTCTTTGAAAATAATGCATTATGTGATGGCAAACATTCGTCATGGGCCATTGGAGAGAGGGTCGGGCCTCAGTCTCATCTC